AAGCACATCAATGTGCTGGAGCTCAGGGTGGTTCACCTGGCACTCCAACAGTTCCTGCCCTACTTGGAGGGGAAGCATGTCCTGGTCAAATCAGACAACACCAGGGTAGTGGCGTATATCAATCACCAGGGGGGACTGAGATCACGGCACTGCCACGAAATGGCTCGGGAGCTCTTACTGTGGGCTCAGACCCGCTTGGCGTCACTGCAGGCAGCGCACAACCCCGGGGTCTTGAACCGGGCAGCGGACATGCTTTTGAGAAATGGCCCGCCAGAGGGGGACTGGAGTCTACACCCTCAGGTGTTGTTACAGCTGTGTGAAAGGTTCTGGAGAGTGCAGGTGGACCTGTTTGCATCTCAGGAGAACACTCATTGTCCCAGCTGGTTCTCGAAGTCGGACCCTCCAGGCCCTCTGGATTTGGACGCCCTTGCTCACGATTGGCCAGCACTTTATGCGTTCCCACCATTTCCCCTGATTAATACAAGTGTGGATATTTGCCTATGAGTTCCAGGCCCCCAGTGTCCGGTCTGGAGCTTGAAGTTACGAGCTCTGCTGGGCAGCTACGCTAGACAGGGTCAGTTTGAAGGGCCACTGGCTGCTCCTGATAGCCCCATACTGGCCGAGATGACCATGGTTCAGCCTCCTGTTGTCCCTCCTCTCTGGGACCCCATGGCAGCTGCCGCTGAGACCCGACCGGCTCTCTCAGGCTCGGGGGATGCTGTGGCATCCGGACCCACGCCGCCTCCAGCTTTGGGCTTGGTCCCTGAGATGCGTAAATGGGCAAGTCTAGGCATTCAGGACAATGTGGTGAACACGTGGCAGAACGCCAGGGCTTCCTCCACCAACGTGTCATATCAAATGCGGTGGGGCATATTCTGTACTTGGTGTGAGGGTCATAATGTAGCATCAGAGTTGTGTAATGTACAAAACAATTACACTTTTTACAATCACTGCTTGATGCGGGCCGAGCTGCATCTACTTTGTGAGTGTATTTAGCCGCAATTTCGGGCCATGACGATGGCCCGGAGGGACCCATGGGTGGCCACCCATTGCTCTCCAAGTTTATGAAGGGAGTTAGACGTCTGCGTCCAGCGAAGACCCATTCGGTGCCAAACTGGGATCTTGACGTGGTGCTGTCAGCACTTGCTAGGCCACCCTTGGAGCCCCTGGGGTTAGCGTCTTTGAAGCACCTATCCATGAAGGTGGCATTCCTGTTGGCTATTACCTCTACTAAGAGGGTTAGTGAACTTCATGCTCTTTCAGTGAGCGCTGAATGTTTCCCGGTACATGGGACTAATCTGAAATTCTTCCTCTGAATGTATCTTGCTGAGCGGAAGGATACCATATTGGAGTGATCCAATAGCTCACATAACCGTGGTTACATACGTAACCTTCGTTCCCGGGAAAAGGGGAGACAGATCGGGCAAGCACGGTGCTGAATCGAAAGCTAGCAATATGATATGTAGCTAGCTAGTAAGGTGAACAGTTTGTTCTGCTAACTGGCTAGCAACCCGTTTTACTGTATAATTTAGCTTGATCAACAAGTGATGTATCTTTGTCAAAAGGAGTTGAGTATATAGCTTGTCCACTAAAGTCTTCTTGCTTACAATTAGTCATCATCTCTTCCACACAGTTTGCACCAATCAGAGTATGTCCACGCAGTGATCTCCACAGATGGATGAAGTCAACCTGCTTGCTCTGCCCCTCCAGTACTGTTACACTATGTACACCATATTTGCTTGACTCAATACGTTTAAAGATACACCTTACTTCACAAGGGTGAAAATCCTACATTCAATCTGTATTGAGTTTTTCCTTGCCACCATCAACAGGAAAAGGTTATGTGAGGTATAAAGTAAATAACAATGTTGATATCATTAGTTCATTGATTTGTCATGCCCATACCATACCAATTATTCGGAACATTTAACCATCACAGGTGATATTGTAACCCGGGGACCTGTGACAGAGACATTGTCTAAAGCTTACACAGTCATTCTTGTCCTAAAAAATTACTGGTGTTCAAGAAACAGGTTAAAATGTACATAAGTAATGTGCAGCTAGGTGTCCTTGAATATGGTTTCCAACATAAGATTGCCAGAACTTTACTGAAGAGCAAGTGCATTACTGTATTGTAATTATTTTTGACGGAATACATTATTCACCTATGACTAGTGGCAGCAAACAAAGTAGCACTGGTAATTATGACTAAACCGTTTTAGCAGTATAGCAACAACTTCAGTACAGTTCGTTTTATTTAATTGGTTCAGGTTAGTACTGCAACCATGGCACATCGGTGAGAATGCAATGAAGTCAAAAGGGTTCCAGTATTGGATATTTATTACACTGATAAAACAGGAACACAGAGGCACATGAGGGGTTTGAATGTAAGCTTAGTAGTTGGAGTTTCAAGTCCTGTAGGATGGTTGTGGTAGGTAGGAAGGTTTGTGTTTTCTGGAAGGGAGATAAAAGTGCATATTAGGATACACATAATATAAAAAGTACAGTTGAAGTCGGAAGTTTACATACACCTTAGCCAAATACATTTAAACTCAGTTTTTCACAATTCCTGACATTTAGTCCTAGTAAAAATTCCCTGTCTTAGGTCAGTTAGGATCACCACTTTATTTTAAGAATGTGAAATGTCAGAATAATAGTAGAGAGAATGATTTATTTCAGCTTTTATTTATTTCATCACATTCCCAGTGTGTCAGAAGTTTACATACACTCAATTAATATTTGGTAGCATTGCCTTTCAATTGTTTAACTTGGGTCAAACGTTTCGGGTAGCCTTCCACAAGCTTCCCACAATAAGTTGGGTGAATTCTGGCCCAATCCTCCTGACAGAACTGGTGTAACTGAGTCAGGTTTGTAGGCCTCCTTGCTCACACACGCTTTTTCAGTTCTGCCCACACATTTTCTATAGGATTGAGGTCAGGGCTTTGTGATGGCCACTCCAATACCTTGACTTTGTTTTCCTTAAGCCATTTTTCCACAACTTTGGAAGTATGCTTGGGGTCATTGTCCATTTGGAAGACCCATTTGCGACCAAGCTTTAACTTCCTGACTGATGTCTTGAGATGTTGCTTCAATATATCCACATTTAAAAAAAATACGATCTTTGTCCCCATGTGCAGTTGCAAACCGTAGTCTGGCTTTTTTATGGTGGTTTTGGAGCAGTGGCTTCTTCCTGAGCTGAGCGGCCTTTCAGGTTATGTCGATATAGGACTTGTTTTACTGTGGATATAGATGCTTTTGTACCTGTTTCCTCCAGCATCTTCACAAGGTCCTTTGCTGTTGTTCTGGGATTGATTTGCACTTTTCACACCAAAGCACGTTCATCTCTAGGAGACAGAACGCGTCTCCTTCCTGAGCGGTATGACGGCTGCGTTGTCCCATGGTGTTTATACTTGCGTACTATTGTTTGTACAGATGAACGTGGTACCTTCAGGCGTTTGGAAATAGCTCCCAAGGATGAACCAGACTTGTGGAGGTCTACAAAAAAAATTCTGAGGTCTTGGCTGATTTATTTTGATTTTCCCATGATGTCAAGCAAAGAAGCACAGAGTTTGAAGGTAGGCCTTGAAATACATCCACAGGTACACCTCCAATTGACTCAAATTATGTCAATTAGCCTATCAGAAGCTTCTAAAGCCATTATATCATTTTCTGGAATTTTCCAAGCTGTTTAAAGGCACAGTCAACTTAGTGTATGTAAACTTTTGACCCACTGGAATTGTGATACAGTGAATTATAAGTGAAATAATCTGTCTGTAAACAATTGTTGGAAAAATTACTTGTGTCACGCACAAAGTAGATGTCCTAACCGACTTGCCAAAACTATAGTTTGATAACAAGAAATATGTGGAGTGGTTGAAAAACGAGTTTTAATGACTCCAACGTAAGTGTATGTAAACTTCCGACTTCAACTGTACATTAATGATAAAGTAGTGGCAAATATTGTGATTAATATGTAGGGAGAGTGTCAGAACTGAGCATAACTGTTAAATAGTGGACCCAAAGTGACCCAAGGTGGGAATGAAGAGGAGGATCATACTGTAACTTGTAGGGAAAAAAGCCCTCTCTGGACTACCAACCAACAACATCGATCCCAATGTTCAATGAAAAGAGCATTGCATTGTACTTGCAGAGTCTGAACTATTTACAGTATATTCTAGGTTAGATATTCTGGACTTTAATACTGAGAAGGATGAACTACTGTGTGAATTCTTATCATTAGCAGAAGAGGAACATTTATTTGGTAATATAATAAGTATTGTTGCATTAAAGGGTCCATAAGAAGTTACTATATCCATTTTTTTATTTTATTTTTTATTTAAGCTATAGGTTATTTTAACAGGGAAGACACACTGAGAACAACAATTTGATGACTTTTTGCCGAGATTTACTGACACCGGTCATTTTCAGCTTGTGTAGCATGTTTGTTAACTTGCACTATGGCACACAGGCAAGAATGCCCTGAAATCGGTGTAGATAGTGAATTTACGAACGCACACTAAATATTGATCATAATAAACTAATTTTACAGCCCAAAACGGCCATCAATTAAGTTTGTTTGGCCGTTCTGCCGATCTTAATTTACATAGGCTTTCTACAGCAGACCACAGAGCTTTAGGCACCGGTATGTTGCTGCGCATTGTGCAGTAGCTGCCCAGCAGAGTAGCTAGTAACTTCAAGCTCCAGACCGGACACTGGGGGCCTGGAACTCATAGGCAAATACCCACACTTGTATTAATATACCATTTAGAATACATTGCTTCATTCTGTGGTGTGCTAAGTGTGGATATTGCCCTGTATATTTTCCTTTTACGGTTTATGGTCGGCCACCCAATAACCATGGGAATAGTCATGGTTGTCCAGCATTCAGCAGCTCTGTGTGTTTAGTTGCTGCTAGCAAGCTGATGTTATTTTAGTAGCTACTAATGTAGAAACTGTGCTACAGATTTGGTCTTAGTTTTGTTGCCCACAACACTTCCACAATGACACAAGCGGAGAGAGAACAAGAAAACGGCAAAGAGAAGGAAAAGGAGAGAGAGAAGGAGAAGGAAAAGGAACAGCGTGGTGTCAAAAGACCAATCGCTCCACCGGTTATCCCAGAGCCTCTTCAAGAAGTAAGTTGCAAAGCTACGTTCAAAGGGCCAAGGATTGATATTTGAGATTGGAATACGATCCTATTAAATAATTATATGGGAATAATGTTGTTTAGTTTGCACATAGACTGCTATGGCAGCTACACGTTGGCTAACGTTAGCTAGCTAGCAGCTAGCCGACAACGATTTAGAAGGAGTTGAGTGGACACTACTAGTGTTGGCGGACTGGAATTCCAACGTCACATAAAATTATTATAATTTTTATCAAAAACTACTGATTTCAGCACCCAAAGAATAGCCCACAATTACACACTATGTCGTTAAGGTTACGCTGTCTTAAGTCCCCGTACTGTTTGCTTCCTTGTAAGGTCATTATGTCTAAACAAACAACTCCCTTCACAGCAAATTCAGAGCAACTTTATCGTTGTGTTACACCCTGGATCGAAAACGTTGAGAATTGGTAGAGCAACGGACACTCTTCCTGCGACTGTCCCACACGTCATAGCCCGCAGACATAAACAAACATGCCAGCCCCGATATGAGGATGCATGGCTGGTGAGAGAAGGCCTGAATGTGAGTCAAAAATGACCCGAACACACACATACACACACACTGTAACCCTTATAATCCTCAAATGTCTACTCTATCTCTCTGTACTTGTTCACTCAACAAAGAAACCAGAGAGTAATGAACAGAGGCAGAATGGTCTCAAAATGGTTGACCAGGCGATCTGGTCAAAGAAGATGTCCAATGGAGTACGAAGGACGCCAGTGTCTGCTGAACAGGTAGGTGTGTAGTTGTATGTGCAGGGCTCTACATATATTTACCTATGTAGCCTGTGTGTATGTCTGTTCTGCAGGTAAGGTGATGCCATGTCCCTGATTGTGCGGGACAGTGCCAGATTTTGGCCATTTGTCCCGCAACGAAACAATCATGTCCCGCATATTATCAACAAATTAAAACACCACAAATTTACAAAAAGAGGTAGATTTGTCCCGTATTTCAGCCAGACATTCCAACCTGTCTCTTACAGTCACATTGCGCTGTTTCTGCGTCACCAAATTTTGCTCAAGGCAAAAAAGTAGCATAAGTGTGCTTCAATTAGCTCGTTCGGTGCAGGGGTGTAGTGGTGCCAGAGTATCGCTCCGCCACTTCTCACAATGGTACTTGTTTAGCAAAGTTAGACCAAAGCTAAATCAATGCCTTGGAAGATCACATAATGATTCATTAGTATTCTACATGACATAACAAAATATGTTGGTGTAACATTACTGTTACATCAAAAAACCACCGTAGTCATTTCTTTTTAGGATGGTTAGCTGAATATTCACATAGTTTTTCTTATACGGCCAAAACTTAACAGTGCGTGCCACTAGGCAGAATTTGCTTGGATTGAAACAAAATACAGGAAGGCTAAATAGTTTAACACTATGTGCTCTAATTTACTCACGGAAAAGTAATGGAAGAAGCTCTAAATGCATATTCCCATGAAACTGATTGAGATCAAATGATTTGCATGCAGATGCAGTTTGGACGTTTCACAGGTAAAACCTGAAGAATTATCATCATTCACGATTGACAGTAGTGATGGCCTATTTTGAAAGTATGTATGCCTAACTTGGTGTTTGACGGGTATTTAAAATATAACATTTTCTTGAGACAATATGTGTGGGCAAACATTGCAATTGGAGGATGCATATTCTGTAATGATATTCAATAAGCTACATCTGTCAGTACAAATTTTTAGAATTTATGACAACCTTTTTGTATTCATGTAGGCTACACTGGCCCACGAATGTCCCGCGTTTGGGTATTTTAAAAGTGGTCACCCTATCTGCAACTCATGATTGACCACCCTAAACAGTGGTTTGATTGTCTGTTTGGGTGTTGTCTTGCAGGCCAGGTCTTATAACAGACTGATTCGACCAGCAGGTCTGGACACTAGCTCCAGGATGAAGTGGACCAACACAGCACACCATCCAGAGCACCTGGTGGGAGAGGAGGTGAGGGACTACAGCACACCTGGACACAATGCATGCATGTTAAAGAGCAGGTTACTTTCAGAAATTACGTTTTTATTATATTAATCCTTTGTGGATTTGTCAATTGTTAATTTCTCCCTCCTCTCCTGCTCTGTTTTCTCTCCCCTCTGTCCTAATGGCAGGCATTGTATGTAAACCCCACTGACTGTTACAACGTGCACTGGCCCATCAGCAGGGGGCAGCTCAACGTGCACGGCGGTGCAGGGGGTTCTCTGACTGCTGTCCTGGCCGATCTGGAGGCCATCTGGAGCCACGTTATCCAGAAACAACTGGAAATACCCCTAAAAGACCTCAAGGTACAGGACAGACAATGGGCTCACTTCACAGTGCCTGATTTTTTTTTAGCGGAAATATTTTGTGGTAAGCTGTCAGTTTTATTTTGTACTCTGATCTTATCTCCTCTTGTTTCTTTGTTTGTTTGGCAGTATTACAGGTGTATCCTTTTAGTCCCTGACATCTATAACAGGCATCACGTCAAGGAACTAGTCAACATGCTGCTGCTCGACATGGGCTTTTCAGGTACAATACACACTAAATAGCTAACTAAATGGCTACATGGACTACCTGAGTTGACCTTTTGTATTACATTTTTTGAACTGTCTCTTTACACACTCACAGGGCCCTTCACATTCCAACACACACAAACACTCACTTCATCATTTGCTCACACACATAATATGCACATACAGTGGGGAGAACAAGTATTTGATACACTGCCGATTTTGCAGGTTTTCCTACTTACAAAGCATGTAGAGGTCTGTAATTTTTATCATAGGTACACTTCAACTGTGAGAGACGTAATCTAAAACAAAAATCCAGAAAATCACATTGTATGATTTTTAAGTAATGAATTTGCATTTTATTGCATGACATAAGTATTTGATACATCAGAAAAGCAGAACTTAATATTTGGTACAGAAACCTTTGTTTGCAATTACAGAGATCATACGTTTCCTGTAGGTCTTGACCAGGTTTGCACACACTGCAGCAGGGATTTTGGCCCACTCCTCCATACAGACCTTCTCCAGATCCTTCAGGTTTCGGGGCTGTCGCTGGGCAATACGGACTTTCAGCTCCCTCCAAAGATTTTCTATTGGGTTCAGGTCTGGAGACTGGCTAGGCCACTCCAGGACCTTGAGATGCTTCTTACGGAGCCACTCCTTAGTTGCCCTGGCTGTGTGTTTCGGGTCGTTGTCATGCTGGAAGACCCAGCCACGACCCATCTTCAATGCTCTTACTGAGGGAATGAGGTTGTTGGCCAAGATCTCGCGATACATGGCCCCATACATCCTCCCCTCAATACGGTGCAGTCGTCCTGTCCCCTTTGCAGAAAAGCATCCCCAAATAATGATGTTTCCACCTCCATGCTACACGGTTGGGATGGTGTTCTTGGGGTTGTACTCATCCTTCTTCATCCTCCAAACACGGCGAGTGGAGTTTAGACCAAAAAGCTCTATTTTTGTCTCATCAGACCACATGACCATCTCCCATTCCTCCTCTGGATCATCCAGATGGTCATTGGCAAACTTCAGACGGGCCTGGACATGCGCTGGCTTGAGCAGGGGGACCTTGCGTGCACTGCAGGATTTTAATCCATGACGGCGTAGTGTGTTACTAATGGTTTTCTTTGAGACTGTGGTCCCAGCTCTCTTCAGGTCATTGACCAGGTCCTGCCGTGTAGTTCTGGGCTGATCCCTCACCTTCCTCATGATCATTGATGCCCCACGAGGTGAGATCTTGCATGGAGCCCCAGACCGAGGGTGATTGACCGTCATCTTGAACTTCTTCCATTTTCTAATAATTGCGCCAACAGTTGTTGCCCTCTCACCAAGCTGCTTGCCTATTGTCCTGTAGGCCATCCCAGCCTTGTGCAGGTCTACAATTTTATCCCTGATGTCCTTACACAGCTCTCTGGTCTTGGCCATTGTGGAGAGGTTGGAGTCTGTTTGATTGAGTGTGTGGACAGGTGTCTTTTATACAGGTAACGAGTTCAAACAGGTGCAGTTAATACAGGTAATGAGTGGAGAACAGGAGGGCTTCTTAAAGAAAAACTAACAGGTCTGTGAGAGCCGGAATTGTTACTGGTTGGTAGGTGATCAAATACTTATGTCATGCAATAAAATGCAAATTAATTACTTAAAAATCATACAATGTGATTTTCTGGATTTTTGTTTTAGATTCCATCTCTCACAGTTGAAGTGTACCTATGATAAAAATTACAGACCTCTACATGCTTTGTAAGTAGAAAAACCTGCAAAATCGGCAGTGTATCAAATACTTGTTCTCCCCACTGTACATTTATACTGACTCTACACACGCACACACACTCAAATACAATCATCATATACGCTGCTGTTACTCTCTTTATCATATATCCTGATGCCTAGTCACCTTACCCCTATACATATCTAGCACATACTCGTATCCGTAAGTTGACATTTTTAATAGTCGGATTGGATGATACTCGTGATCTGAAAAAAGGTGCTTTAATATGCCTAAGTAGATGTTGGCAATATACCTCCCTTCATGTTCTCACTGCAAAAAAAAGCTGCAGATTAGGAGCAGCGGGAGGAGATGTCTGTGTGTCCTCAACTTGCAGCAGGCAGCCACGTTTGCTGTCACTCAGTCAGAATGCTCATCAGCGTTTCTTCTTCTTTCCGTACTCTTGCCCGCTTGTTAGATATTATGCACATTGATAGCTTTATAGCAAACGTCCTCACCATGTGATTTATCGTAGTAGCAGCCAGGCAGCAGCAGTCTAAATGATCAGACCGAAAACTGATCGGGTGAAATCATAGAGGGTGAAATTATGAAGCGAGTGGACGGAGGAATACGGCTTCACTCTATCCAATCAGAGCAGCAGGATCAACGTACAGCCCGCCCTTCTCTTTAAAGACAGCCAGTGGAGTTATTTAGACCATGTAGAAACTCGAACATGACTGACTGACATGAGAAAGCTGCGTGCTGGCACCGGAAAATAACTTTTTTCCCCATCACGGATAATTACACAAATACTTGGACCTGAATTTTATCCAGAAAATTGCCCATATCCGTTACGATACTCATTTCCTCTGACTATTTGGCACACCCCTAGTAAATATGGTACTGGAACTGACCCTGTATATAGTATGCTTGCTTACTTTTTCGTGTTCTTTTTATTTATATTTCTTGTTTTAGTTCTACCTTGTTATTTTTTGTATTACATTGTTATTGATTACTGCATTGTTGGGCTTAGAGCTAGCAAGAAATGCATTTAGCTGTATTTGTGCATGTGACATTGAAACTTGAAACACAAACTGATTCTCTCTCCTTGGTCTGCAGCGATCGTAGTCCACCAGGAGTCTGTGTGTGCTACCTTCGGCAGTGGCTTGAGCAGTGCCTGTGTGGTGGATGTGGGCGACCAGAAGACCAGTCTATGCTGTGTGGAGGACGGAGTGTCTCACCGCAACTCCAGGTGTGTAGAAGTGTGCAACCCCTCCCTGGTTGTCTGTGAAGGTTTTGAACTGAAGTGTACACACTAGGTTTGAACTTCCCACTGAGGAATTGAACGGTGCACAGTAGGGGCTTATCCGGAAATAAAAATGTATCGGTAACTTTATTAGTGTGGTAATAAAGATGCTCTGTGTACGTGTGTCTGTCCTCCTGCAGGCTGTGTCTGGCATACGGGGGCGCTGATGTCACCCGCTGTTTCTTCTGGCTCCTGCAGAGGGCGGGCTTCCCCTACAGGGAGTGTCAGCTCTCCAACAGGGTGGACTGCATCCTGCTGCAGCAGCTCAAAGAGACCTTCTGCCATCTGGACCAGGTACTGAAACAGCACCTGACATCTGGGTCATATTTATAAGGCATCAAACGGAAGAAAACAGCCTGAAATAGGGAGGAGCTTCCGTAACTTTTCCAATAAGAAACCGTTATTTTAGTTTCTGCTATGGTGTGCCCTAATAACTAAGACCCTGGTGCACTCTTCAACGTAAGCAGTCTCCAACCCTGGTCTTGAAGTGCTAACTGTATGGTCCAGGCTTTTATTTCAGCCCATCATTAACATGCCAGTTTCAAATAGCCAACTAATTAATCATTATCTTCCATCTGGGCTGTAAGGCTGTAGCTGAATAAGGTGTGTTACTGAGGAAGGGGAACGTAGGAATGAAAGGAGATGGATACCCCTTTTCTACATGCTCAGCTCATTTGGATGGATTTTTCATTCACCTTTTTCTCCAGGACATCTCTGGGCTACAAGACCACGAGTTCCGCACCCGTTTCCCAGAGTCCCCTGCACTTCTTTACCAGATTCGACTTGGTGATGAGAAACTGCAGGTATGCATACACACCTAGTCAGGGAAGGGCTGTCAGTGGGAAAGCGGATGATGATGGTGGTTATGAAGCCCAATTTTGATATTGAAGATGACTATAATAAAGATGACATTATAAATGCTGTCACAATGTGTTGTTTGTGTACGCCAGGCTCCTATGGCCCTGTTCTACCCCACCACGTTTGGGATAGTGGGCCAGAAGATGACGACCTTGCAGCACAGATCTCAGGGTGACCCAGAGGACCCACACGATGAACACTACCTACTGGGAACCCAGAGCAAGCAGGACCAGGTAAGATAAGAACACCTAACTCATCATACTAGAACTATCTGATTGGTACTACTATCTGATTGGCTGATACTCCCCCTCTCTGTTTCCACCTCTCCCTTTATTTTCCTCCTCGCTCCCTCCATCTCATCCTCCTCTCTCCCTCCCTCCATCTCATCCTCCTCTCTCTCCCTCCCTCCATCTCATCCTCCTCTCTCTCCCTCCCTCCATCTCATCCTCCTCTCTCTCCCTCCCTCCATCTCATCCTCCTCTCTCTCCCTCCCTCCATCTCATCCTCCTCTCTCTCCCTCCCTCCATCTCATCCTCCTCTCTCTCCCTCCCTCCCTCTCATCCTCCTCTCTCTCCCTCCCTCCATCTCATCCTCCTCTCTCTCCCTCCCTCCATCTCATCCTCCTCTCTCTCCCTCCCTCCATCTCATCCTCCTCTCTCTGCCTCCCTCCATCTCATCCTCCTCTCTCTGCCTCCCTCCATCTCATCCTCCTCTTTCTCCCTCCCTCCATCTCATCCTCCTCTCTCTGCCTCCCTCCATCTCATCCTCCTCTCTCTCCCTCCCTCCATCTCATCCTCCTTCCTCCTCTCTGCCTCCCTCCATCTCATCCTCCTCTCTCTCCCTCCCTCCCTCCCATCCTCCTCTCTCTCCCTCCCTCCCTCCCATCCTCCTCTCTCTCCCTCCCTCCCTCCTCCCTCCCTCCATCTCATCCTCCTCTCTCCCTTATTGTGCTCAGTCCTCTAAAGCCTCAGCAGAGCGTAAGTCCCTTCCCAAGCCGCCTGGGTTCGAGGGGGAGTTTAGCAGCCAGGGTGGGGACCCCTCAGAACGTGGAGGTGGTGCCCATGGCCAGGATGTGGAGCTGGGACACTCTCAGAACGACTGCCTGATGGGAGGAGCAGAGATGGAGGAGCCTCCCTCAGCACTCCTCTCCAGGAAGACTGCCATGACCCAGTTTGAGGGCAAAGCGCTGGGCTTGGATAAAGCCATCCTGCACAGCATCGACTGCTGTGGTAAGCAAAACACCCTGCTTCAAAACTCTGTACTATAATACAGGATCTTGTTTTATTCTGCCATAAACATGAGGTAACATACACTAAATAATAAACATAAGATATAGACAACATTATTGGTCATGATATTCATTATTTTGTTATGAAGTGAGGGTAAATGGTGAATTCTTAAGCAGTGGATTCCAAATGTTGGACGTTTTGATAGGGGAATGTGTTAGGTTTTGTGTGTATTTGTTTGTGCCCAGCATCTGACGAGACCAAGAGGAAGATGTACAGCTCCATCCTGGTGGTGGGGGGAGGCCTGCTGTTCCACAGGGCCCAGGAGTTCCTGCAGCACCGCATCCTCAACAAGATGCCCCCCTCCTTCCGCAGGGTGGTGGAGAGCGTGGAGGTCATCACACGACCCAAGGTACACTGGCTTCTACGTATACTGGTTTTAGCACAGTGGACTAACATGGTCTTGAGGCATGCAGAAGAGCCAGGTTTGATATCTAGTCTAACACAGTGGGTATAAAATGCATCTTGCAGGAGTTTGTGTGTCGCTCTAAGCAGAGGTGTTTAATGGCTGTGTTTTCCAGGACATGGACCCTCGCCTGATCTCGTGGAAGGGGGGAGCGGTGCTTGCCTGCCTGGACACCACCCAGGAGATGTGGATCCACCAGAGGGAGTGGCAGCGCTTTGGGGTGCGCATGCTGAGGGAGAGGGCTGCGTTTGTCTGGTAAACCACCCCAGAGACTACACCCCACTGGAACCAAGGGAGCACAGAGGGAGAAGCCCATTATCTTAGACAGTAGAACACTGGCACATGTAACACTCACAGAGAAAGACATTGCCAGACACACAAGATAAGGCAAATACTTAACCTGGGAAATGACCCTCGTAGGCTTCAAACATCTCTCCCTTGGTACCTTATATTGTGTAGTGTAAAGTGTACAGCATGTCTTTTTGACAGTTTAACTGGTGCCTATGTGGTAGAGAAGGATTAAATCTGTTGTTTTGTTCCCAGTTTCTTCTGGCATTGTGGATTTTTATTTTTATTAAAGCCCTACATATTTCTTGAAAAAATTACTTATTGTTTTGACATTTCTTATAAACCATATATACAGTGGGGAAAAAAAGTATTTAGTCAGCCACCAATTGTGCAAGTTCTCCCACTTAAAAAGATGAGAGAGGCCTGTAATTTTCATCATAGGTACACGTCAACTATGACAGACAAAATGAGAATTTTTTGTAGGATTTTTAATGAATTTATTTGCAAATTATGGTGGAAAATAAGTATTTGGTCAATAACAAAAGTTTCTCAATACTTTGTTATATACCCTTTGTTGGCAATGACACAGGTCAAACGTTTTCTGTATGTCTTCACAAGGTTTTCACACACTGTTGCTGGTATTTTGGCCCATTCCTCCATGCAGATCTCCTCTAGAGCAGTGATGTTTTGGGTCTGTCGCTGGGCAACACGGACTTTCAACTCCCTCCAAAGATTTTCTATGGGGTTGAGATCTGGAGACTGGCTAGGCCACTCCAGGACCTTGAAATGCTTCTTACGAAGCCACTCCTTCGTTGCCCGGGTGGTGTGTTTGGGATCATTGTCATGCTGAAAGACCCAACCACGTTTCATCTTCAATGCCCTTGCTGATGGAAGGAGGTTTTCACTCAAAATCTCACGATACATGGCCCCATTCATTATTTCCTTTACATGGATCAGTCGTCCTGGTCCCTTTGCAGAAAAACAGCCCCAAAGCATGATGTTTCCACCCCCATGCTTCACAGTAGGTATGGTGTTCTTTGGATGCAACTCAGCATTCTTTGTCCTCCAAACATGACGAGTTGAGTTTTTACCAAAAAGTTCTGTTTTGGTTTCATCTGACCATATGACATTCTCCCAATCCTCTTCTGGATCATCCAAATGCACTCTAGCAAACTTCAGACGGGCCTGGACATGTACTGGCTTAAGCAGGGGGACACGTCTGGCACTGCAGGATTTGAGTCCCTGGCGGCGTAGTGTGTTACTGATGGTAGGCTTCGTTACTTTGGTCCCAGCTCTCTGCAGGTCATTCACTAGGTCCCCCCGTGTGGTTCTGGGATTTTTGCTCACCGTTCTTGTGATCATTTTGACCCCACGGGGTGAGATCTTGCGTGGAGCCCCAGATCGAGGGAGATTATCAGTGGTCTTGTATGTCTTCCATTTCCTAATAATTGCTCCCACAGTTGATTTCTTCAAACCAAGCTGCTTACCTATTGCAGATTCAGTCTTCCCAGCCTGGTGCAGGTCTACAATTTTGTTTCTAGTGTCCTTTGACAGCTCTTTGGTCTTGGCCATAGTGGAGTTTGGAGTGTGACTGTTTGAGGTTGTGGACAGGTGTCTTTTATACTGATAACAAGTTCAAACAGGTGCCATTAATACAGGTAACGAGTGGAGGACAGAGGAGCCTCTTAAAGAAGAAGTTACAGGTCTGTGAGAGCCAGGAATCTTGCTTGTTTGTAGGTGACCAAATACTTATTTTCCACCATAATTTGCAAATAAATTCATTAAAAATCCTACAATGTGATTTTCTGGATTTATTTTTCTCAATTGGTCTGTCATAGTTGACGTGTACCTATGATGAAAATTACAGGCCTCTCTCATCTTTTTAAGTGGGAGAACTTGCACAATTGGTGGCTGACTAAATACTTTTTTTCCCCACTGTAGGTGGGAAGAAATTTGATACGAGGCATATTTAACGGGGTAAAATGTTATGAACGGGTACCTTTCCTACAGCACAATTCGCAAAGACGTCAAGTTTGTGGTTGTGTGTGCTAAGCAGAGGATCTGAGATCGAGTACCAGTAAGGACTCTAATACTTAAACGATCATTGACGCCTGTCACAGTAAAATGATATGACTAACTCCTGTCGTGTCATTCATCATACCCCTAGTAAATCAATTTTAATTTCAACATACACTACATGACCAAAATTATGTGGACACCTGCTCGTCGAACATCTCATTCCAAAATCATGGGCATTAATATGGAGTTGGTCCCCTCTCTTCTAGGAAGAATTTCCACTAGATGTTGGAACATTGCAGCGGGGACTTGCTTCCATTCAGCCACAAGAGCATTAGTGAGGTTGGGCACTGATGTTGGGCGATTAGGCCTGGCTCGCAGTCTGCGTTCCAATTCATCCCACCGATCTCGACAAACCATTTCTGTATGGACCTCGCTTTGTGCACTAGGGCATTGTCATGCTGAAACAGGAAAGGGCCTTCCCTAAACTGTTGCCACAAAATTGGAAGCACAGAATCGTCTAGAATGTAATTGTATGCTGTAGCGTTAAGATTTCCCTTCACTGGAACTAAAGGGGCCTAGTCCGAACCATGAACCTCTGTAGCTCAATTGGTAGAGCATGGCGCTTGTAACGCCAGGGTAGTGGGTTCGATCCCCGGGACCACCCATATGTAAAAATGTATGCACACATGGCTGTAAGTCGCTTTGGATAAAAGCGTCTGCTAAATGGCATATTATTATATTATTATGAAAATCAGCCCCAGACCATTATTCCTCCTCCACCCAACTTTACAGTTAGCACTATGCATTGGGGCAGGTAGCGTTCTCCTGGCTTCCGTAAACCCAGATTCGTCCGTCGGACTGCCAGGTGGTGAAGCGTGATTCATCAGTCCAGAGAACGCGTTTCCACTGCTCCAGAGTCCAATGGCGGCGAGCTTTACACCACTCCAGCCGACACTTGGTATTGCGCATGGTGATCTGAGCCTTGTGTGTGGCTGCTCGGCCATGGAAACCCATTTCATGAAGCTCCCGAAGAACAGTTATTGTGCTGATGTTTCTTCCCGAGGCAGTTTGGAACTTGGTAGGGAGTGTTGCAACCGAGGACAGACGATTTTTACGCGCTTCAGCAGTCCCGTTCTGTGAGCTTGTGTGGCCTACCACTTTGCGGCTGAGCAGTTGTTGCTCCTAGACGTTTCCACTTCACAATAACAGCACTTACAGTTGACTGGGGCAGCTCTAGCAGGGCAGAAATGTGATGGACTGACTTGTTGGAAAGGTGGCATCATATGACGGTGCCACATTAAGTCACTGAGCTCTTTATAATGGACATTCTACTGCCAATGTTTGTCTGTGGAGATTGCATGGCTGTGCTCAATTTTATACACCTGTCAGCAACGGGTGTGGCTGAAATAGCCGAATCCAGTAATTTGAAGGTGTCCACATAATTTTGTATATACAGTGTATCATTGCACTGAACACTCTTTAAAAAGGGCATGTATACAGCACAGGAGTTTATTGAACAATGGGATACAAAAAATTACAGATTTTGAGAGGAGGCAGGAGAGTGATGTGAAATTATAACAATGGGAAAGGAAGAGGGGTCAGAAACGGGAAGCTGCTGTATCGGCCGCCCTGGCCCCTACGTGTAGGAATTCCCAGAGCAGCGTCAGGAGTCTGGTGAGCAGAGGCAGCCGAAAAGGAGGGGGCTGGCACACATGGATATCATTGCAGCCTAAATTAGGCTAAACATCTGCAGCCAGTTTGCCACACCCCATGCCTACACAAAAGGTGTAGTCGTTTACCTATGGAGAGGAACAGAAGACGAGACAATGTAGTTATGTTCTACACCACCACAGATTAACATGAGTCACAGTAGAATTATAAGATCTAACTGTGGCATGGAATCGGAAGTCTGATGCACCTCACCTTCCTCATCCTCCCCCCATGGGAGGGGCCCCCACCGTGGTTTATCCTCCCCATCTGCCTCCGGCTACCAGGGGGTCCAGGGGGTCTGATGGGAGACAGACAGCCATGGGAGTGTTAGAACATTGGAACAGTTGTCCACTGTCATGAAGTCAGTCAAACCTTGCTCTGCATCAACATGACAAGTCTGGCCACCCTTCTTTATAAAGTCATTAATCTTAACCACTACAAAGCCCTGAGGGGTATAATAATATAACATAATATGCCATTTAGCAGATGCTTTTATCCAAAGCGACTTACAGTCATGTGTGCATACATTTTTACGTATGGGTGGTCCCAGGGATCGAACACACTACCCTGGCGTTACAAGCGCCATGCTCTACCAATTGAGCTACAGAGGACTAGGGTATCCTATGAAGCAAGCTAGATCTACTCAGGGTTTTCTAAAGCTAACCAGCTTCGGTTAGCTTCACATTCCAGCTCAGGCTGTACTACAACCATGGATATTGCTCGTCCGCCTGCCACTAACTCTAGCAGGCTTGTAACTGCGTGTGCATGTCGCACGTGGCTAGTGGAACGCTTCATTGAGACAATGCTGAAACATCAACAAATTCAGCAGGTTATGGTGTGAAATAGGCTTTTAGAAGTGCCGTCTTTTTTCATTACTTATCGTTAATGCTGTCTTTGAGCTTGTCAATGCACAAGCACCTTTTTAAATGCACAAGCACCGTTTTACCCACTCCTTTTTGTCATTAAAGTGTTATTGTGTGAAGTTTAAAATGCATTCTGTCATTACTAAATGTGTAATGTGATATTTTAACGTTTAACAAACAATTGATTAAAATATTTAATTAATCATCTTCCTCAAATGAAGGGGATGACACAATCTTTGCAAGAGGGAGGGAATCTGATTGATCCTCAACTTGCGGCTCAGTCATTTCATTCAGGGAAGGGGAGTTGCCCGTGAGTTAGCCTGCCCCAGAGCAGGTTAGTTCTGAAGGATTTGTTGCCATAGAAATGTACCTGGCTAAAAGGTGAGCCACTATCGTATGACCGATTATCCTGAGTTGAACTCCGTTTACCAAAGTTACCTTGCTAACTCTTTAACCCTGCTTCGTAGGATACCACTCTGGGCTTGCACTAGGAGTGTTTTGAGACTGCCACGTCATCCTGACATGAGGGGAAGTAAGCTAACTCTCTGTTTCGACCCAAGGGACTAGGTAGGGACTAGCCCTTTATCATGACTCAGTTCCATTAAATTACACATAAGTCATTGGATGAAGGCATCTTCTGTATGGGGGAGTTTTGTTAACAGCCCCGACGCTCGGTCTGAACATTAACTCCCATCACTTGCGGTACGGTTTTGGAAGCATA